CAAAGGCAAGGGGAAAGGCAAGCGTGCTCGCGGAAAGGGAAAGAAGCGCCGGACTATGTGGACCATGCATGAGATGACTGCCCTGGCAGCAGCGAAATGGTTCTCCCGTGAGGATCTTAAGAAAATGCAAGGGCGGCAGGGGTCGCAGTATTGGAAGAAACTCAGGCAGCACATGCGCAAGGTCCATCCCAAGTGGACTAGGTCCAGTGAATCGATGAAACAGTGCTGGAGAAGGATGGAATCGGAGTACAAGGAGATTGTCGATGCCTCTACCCGCTCGGGCAATGGCAACAGCGCTAGACCTGACTGGTTTGGCTTCATGGAGGACCTCGAGCGCCACACCGCTGCTGTGCGCCCACATGTAGAGGATGGGGGCGGTGCGGACGAACTAAACGCCGCGCGGACCTCAATTCCCCGTGCGGGAACATCTACGCCAGGCCCCGCAGTCGGAGGTGAGTTTCTACGTACTTGCTGGCCAATCCATTACACCCTCGCCTTAAGGCTACCAAGTACATAATGATTTCACTAATCGTGCAATGTCTAACCTATTAATTCTCATCTTGACGTGCAGGCCAGCCACGCAAACGCACAACAACAAGGGGGGCTGCTAACGATGTGGCAAGCATGGAAGAGGCCAGCATGGTGTGTGCTACAATGCGAGAATGCAATGCAGCTGGGGTTGCCAAAATTGACCAGCTCATCCAAGTCATCGTGCAGGCGATCGGTGTCCATGCGGCTACGAACGCGAATAACGGCGTGCCACCAACCACACCCCAAGTCCACGTGCAGACACCTTCCACCGTTCCCCCACCTCGCTCCGGTCCTTGGCCGCCACCGTCACACCCCTCGCCCACGAATCCGGGCGGAGCTGGAGGCGTGCCACCATATGGTGATTATCCGGCCTCATCAACCCCATCGGGTGCTTGGCAGCCCACAGAGCCATTCGCCGCACCTGATCCGCCAGTTGTTGCCGAGAACGTGCCTCTTACTGCACCTGCGAGTGTGGAGGAAGATGGCGAGCAGACGGAGAATGGTACGGAGTATTTCAACGATGCCACCGACGAGAATTAGTGTAGCAATGGTTGGACTGGGTTTCAGATACAACACGAACCTGGAAGCGTCTCTCGTATGCTTCGAAAACAGCTTGACCAAGTCTTTTGCGTCGCTCCTGTAGTTCATCCGAAGTAGACCTAGGAGTAGGAGTCCAGGTGTAGCCTTCCATGCCGTTGCGTTTCCACCACTCGTTTATTTCCCCGTTGTCGTTCTCATCCTCCTTTTGCCATCTGGGCTTGTCGATGCTAATGATCATGTTATGCAGTATAATAATGCAGGCTGTACCCGCACAAACCCGCCAGTAGTGACACTCACTACGACCGGAGAACAACCGCCACCTCTGTTTGAGAGCACCAAAGGTACGCTCGATGGCCATCCTAGTGCTACTCTGAGCGGTGTTGTACTCTTGCTCCCACTCCTTCATAAGACGTTTGGTCTTCGCGTGTAAGGGAGTTAAGCAATATTCTCTGAGAGGGTATGCTGCATCACCGACAATTTGGAAAGGCGTTACATCACCCCTCTCCAAACGCCTATACAAGCCACTTTTTTTTAACACACGGACATCATGTGCCGACCCAGGCATTCCCACATGATAGTCCCATATAACTCCGCGAGCGTTGCAAGTCGCTTGAAGTACTATACTATACGATTGCTTACGATTAAAATATTCAGCCCGGTGGTCGTCCATTCCCTGGACATGGATATGCGACCGGTCTATTGCTCCAATCACGTTTGGCACACCACGTATCTCTCGGAATTCGCTCTCCCACTCCACCATTTCATCTCTGGTTGGCCACCTGACCCACGTAGACTTAAAGATGCGTGGAAACTCGGTTAAGAAAATTTCTACTATAGCATGACATGTGGTTTTAGAAATGCCAAAGAAGTATGACATGTCCAGGAACGTCATAGCCGATGCGAAATATTTTATAGGGACTAAACAGCACACCTCAACCGGAATATTGTGACTGTCTAAAAATGGCGCATAGGAGTCTCGCATGCCAGTAACCACGAGATTGAACACAGTCCTAGACACGCGGAATAAATCCATAAACTCATTGTCTGATATGACGCGAATGTCATGCGTCCAGCGCCTGACAGTGTCTCTACGCCGTTTCCTCCTCTTCCTATGCCGCCGTATAGTATCGTCGTGCTCCATGCTTCGTTTCTCTCTCCTACTATGCTGACGTGCCACGTAACTTGCCAACCACGTGGCGCCATGGTTTGTTACTGTGTGCTGGCATTGCAGAAAGTATACTAGCAACAGTAGCGCGCACATCGCGAGGATCAATGTCTGGCCCCTGTTGTCCGCCATGCCTAAATGCTGTGCTAGTTTTAAAATTCTCTTAACTAGTGTTGGTACTAGCGTCGAGTTGCTGGTTGGGATGGTGTAGGGAGATAGAGCTGGAGCAATACACAGGCATCCGCTTTGAGAGTGGCCTTGTTGGTTGGGAAGCTGCAAGTCGGAGCGCGTGTGCAAATTTGCAGGTGCAATTTCGGGAGCGACGCTGCTGATCGCCAAATCAGCTCAACCAGGTTTGTCGTTTCCTGCCAAGTCACCATCGCATGCCTCTCCCCACGCTGTCGCAGTACACTGTACAGGGTTACCAGTCGTGAACACCTGGACACCTGATGTAATCCTCGGATGACCAGAGGTGAGTTCCGAAAACGGGAAAGGGGCTCGGATGACACGAAATTGTGCCAACTTCGGGTCTTCCTGGGAAGGCCCGAAGCTTGACACTTGTCAGGAACGCACCCTAAGGTAAGATGTGCTCCAATATCATATTTTTTTCTAGTATGACAAGAGATGTGCTTCCCGGTTATTTGTTACTGCCCTACCTGTTAGAGAACGTTTTGTGGGATGGTAGGCTGGCTTTGCAACACGTTGTTGCCTGCGCGGCTCTCAACCTCACATCCCGCGACACACCACTAGCATATGCGGTTTGGGTTATTGTTTTTTTTTTCAGATATGTTCCCCAAGTCTGACCCATCACTTAGCACGCATCAAAATGTTCAACAAATAAGGCTGTAGGTTAGTTTCCTATGCGATTACACCTGTTTCTAAAACGTCGGGCAGAATTTCTGTTTCTAAAGGCTCCCTCAATCCCTCCCTTCTCGACCAACCTTGCCCCGCACCAACCCCCGACTATGTCGCAAACACATCATTTTAGCCGTAAAGGCCGGGACTGTTCCGAACTTACCTGGTTTCCCCTGAAGTCGCGGAAGAATCAGACCAATTGCAGATTATGCAGGTTTCGCTCCCTCGGACTCTCCCGACTCAAGGTAAGTTTTTCTCAACTAAGCCCCTTGTGTGTATTTGCTTTGGGTGTTTTCCTTTCCCTTGCTTTCCCTCGCTGCCGCCCAGTGCCCCCAGTTAACCACCCGTTTCCTCCTCAGCTCGCGCCATCTAACACGCCTGCCAACCCTCTGCAACTTGGCCCCCCCTCGACAACTCCGAGCAACATTAACCTACTACGACCCGACAACCTCAACCACTCCCCTCATGATGCCCCCAAGCTATGTTGGCAACTGCTAGTGTTATCTGGTCGACTCTCCTTCGTTGCACGCGAACCACGCCTCGCCACCCACAGACAGCAACGCACACCTCCCGACCAAAACGACAGGCAGCCGCGAACTACTCGAACCTTCGGTAAGAACCCTCAACGTCTTCTTGTGCCTGCCCGTCTGTCATTCCGTTTGGAAATCAAGTACAGCCTCACTCACAGTCTCCAACACCCCACCGGTAAGCATCTCCGACCTCATTAGTTTATCCCCTGGCTTTTCCCCCGAGACGGGAAAATACCCTCTCCTCGACGACACGAAACAACAATCATTTCCGACAGCCACAAGAAGGTGCGCTGGCAGCCTTGCTGGAGCAGCATTAATGTTCCGCCACCCCGCTGTAAAAAAACAGGCGGTCATCTCTCATGTGATAAGCATGGCTGCCGTTGCCACCCCTACACCTCCCCCCCTGCTTCTTGCCACGTACGCGCCACGAGGAGCTCCCTCAACACCTTCCCTCCAACAAGGTACGTCCAGACTCCGCTTTCCCTCACCCCCTTGGGAACTCTCCCAGTCACGCCACCCTGCTCCCCCAGAGAACCTCCTCCCGGCTCACGCTCTCATTGTATGCCCTCGAAGGCTGTTTCACGTCCCTTCCACCACTCACTTTGCCACCCCTACCCCCTCCCGTCACCTAGAAATTGGCTCAGCACCTCAACCCCACGCCGCGCTCTTGAGCCGGTACGGAACCCAGACTCGGAATGCCGATCAGGCTGCTGGTCATCCTTTCGGATACGCGATGGCCAACGCCTATGCGCCCGACGGTCCCCCCACGCCCCTGTCTACCTCCTGACGCGGCAGCCCCCATGCACCCCGCGCCCCGAGGCACCGCCTTTTGCACGCGACAACCCCCACGTGGGCCGGGCGGCTATCTCGCCTGTTGCCCTTTCGCGTCTTACACGGCTCCGCAGCTACACACCCACTGGTACCTCGAGCGTTGCGGGCTACGCCTCCCTCGTCCTTGCCTTGTAGTTTTGCTCGGCTGAATGCTTCGCTCCTCTCATACTTAACCCCCACCGCCCGAAGACCTCAACATTCACTTCCTCGTTGCCTCCCGCAATTCCTTCCCTTTCTTTCTGCTCCCTCGTCATGGCCGACGTTCCGCAGTTCGACGAAACAATGGAGATGACCGACGAGGAAATTGAAGCGATGGAGCTCCCCGACGACCCCGCCGGCTCTAACCTCCCACGCACCCGCTCGCCGACGGATCTCCCCGTGTCCAAGAAACCCTGCGTCAACGTCGACCCCTGCCCGCTGCCCCAGGAATCGGCGGCCGGCACGTCCGGAGTCATGGAAGAACGCGCTGCCTTACCCGAGCAGCCCGTTCCGCAGCCACCAGCACTAACGCCTCCGCAGCTGCCGTCTTCGCTTCCGTACCGAGCGACATGAACCCCACCCCAACTACCCCCGGCCCGAGCTCCTCCGCCCCGCACGGCCGTGCTGAGGCTGCCGATACGAACGACGCTACGATCCCGTCTGCGGAGACCCCCCCCGAACCCGAGCTGCCGCGCTCCTCCCGTCAACCGGCTCCGCCCCCCCCGATGCTGCCCCCGCCTATCCTCATGACGAGCAGCCGGTCCGTGGTCACCCTGCTCTTCCCAGAAGCGGGTGCCGACGCCATCCGCGCCACGCTCATCGCAAAAATCCTCGCGAAGCTGAAGCCCTCCCTTTTCGACTGCGGATACGTCCCCGACGCCCGCCCCACCAACGGCGAGACCATGCGCTTTGCGGGACGGTCTTACGCGACGATCTGCGTCTCCTGGCCGACACAGCAATCTGCTGACGAGTTCCTGGCCATCTTCAACCACCCCATCGAGCTCTCCACGGGTCGCTTCGTGTCGGTCAAGCCTTACACCGATCCCTACCCAGATTTCACCAAGGCCAAGGCAGATGGTGCCCCCATTCTCTCCCTGCGCCGTGTCCCGGCCCGCTTCGAAGAGGCGAATCTCCTCGCCTACCTGGTGCCTGCATGGCTGGCGGGCATCGAATCCTTCCACCGCATGAAAGACCCCTACGACGGGGTCTTCCTCCCCATCCTCACCGGAATTCCAACCCCGCTCCCCACAGATCCGGACTTCCGCACCATTCCAGCGCGGATTCCCGTCAGCGGTAACGACCCTGACATCCTCGTCAACATCTCCACCCACGAATGCTCCATCTGCGCAAGCAACCACCGCGTGGAGGACCACGCGACCTTCCCCTGTAAGCGCAAGGGACGGATCGGCAACAAATCGCAGCTCACGGTCGCCCAACTGCAGAAGGCCAACGGTACAATCCCCCGCCCCACCTCCCCTCCCCAACCCACGCCTCTAACCCCCCCCCCCACCTTTCTGCTGTTTTGCCATCTTATCAGCATGCTGCCCTCCAGTCAGGATTCCCAAACACCCGCCCCCCTCCCCCCTCTCCTCAACCGCTGTCACCAATTTCCCCCTTCATCCCCCCTGTCCCCGCCCCCCCTCTCTGATCCCGACCTACAGGAGGCTCCATTGGAGCCCATCCCGCCTCCAATGCCTTCCGCGCCGACCCTGCGCTTCTATTCATCGGCACGGACACGGATGTCGAGCCGTGGACCTGTGTGGCCTGCAACTTCGAATGTGGCCCAGCGCTCGACAGTGCGCTGCAGCACATGGAGTCCGCAAAGCACTGCGCGCAGCTGCTCGCCAACACCAGCAAGAAGGCGCCCAAGGAGCCGTTCCTCTCCTGGAGCTAACCGGCGTTCCTGAAGGAAGGGGGCTTCGGGACCTTCCTCAAGCAGCTGAAGTGTACCTCCTGCACCTAGATGCAACACACTTGTCTCTGCTTCGATGCCCTTGCTGTTTCTGCCTGAGATGTACTGCTCTGGACTATCTAATAAATCTCGGCCCTGCAGGCTTGTTGAATGTTATCTCAGAATCTGCCCCTCCCCCCCAATCGAGGAAAACAAAAAACTTATTTACTACACTCACCAGTAAGGAACCCAATCACATACACAAGAGAACAGCCAGGGAACTCAGTAGCGGACTTTGGCCAACACGCCAACCAGAACCCGACACCCTACACACGCACCTGGTGTACATACACCTCCCCAACAAACACAATGCGCTTACAACAGTTTACTCTAGACCCCACTGCCCTGCGCGACCATCCCCATTATGCAGGATGCGACACACCGTCCGCGAGCACAATACAGGGACAACCCCCCTCTCACCCACAGAATCACTGTTCAACACTCTGCATCGCCTCCCCCAAGCCAACCCCTCAGCGCATGGGGACAATGCGCGGACCCCTCACCCCTCCTGACAACTTCCCCACCCCCCCTCGCAACAAACCTCCCGAAGCCCCTGGCCGTGGATACGCACTCTCTCCCGTGCGGTGGCCTCCACAACATGGCCATGTTAACACACCTACGTTTCCTATGTATCAATGTGAACGGAATCAACGAGACACGCAAAATGGACGAACTAAAGTCTTGGCTGGCGAAATTACCCGCACCCGCCGACCTCGTCATCCTCATTGACACCCGGCTCATCCAAAGAATCCCCAACCTCGACCTGAAACTTAGACCTCACTCCTCCGCCCACGCCCCAGCACTACTCTCTACCGAGAGCGCAACAGGAAAGCCCACGCTCATCGGCGGTGTATCCATTCTCTCCTTCAACAGGGCCAACTCACTGTTCTCTCCGGCTCCCTCTGCAGACGGCAGACTACTCACTGTGCACCTCAACTATTTGCGTGAGCAAATCCGCCTCATCGCCATCTACGCCCCCACACAATTCTATGGACGCAGAGTATGGTGGACCTCCACCCTCGTCCCTGCACTGGAAGCCCCCACCGCCGCCTCCGCATCCATGCTAGCAGGAGACTTTAACTCGGTCGTCCTCCCCATCGATAGGAACCGCCCTCCCAAAGACTCCGAGGCTCGTGAAGGCGCCTTTTTCGCCAAACTCATGGAAAACCACGCCCTAGTCGACACATTCCGCGAACTCTTCCCCACGCCGACCGACGTCTTCTCCTTCTTCGGGAGGCAACGTCTCAACATTGCGACACCCCCTACCTCCTCCCGACTCGACAGAATATACATTTCCCGAGCATTCGTTCCACGCCTAACTGCAAGCCCGTACATCCAGACCCGCACGGCAATCACGGACCATCTCTACGCCCCTCTTTGCTCGCTCAGCTTCCTCAACCCCACAGTCGCCCCCCGACCCTGGCGCCTCCGACAGCATCTACTTATGCGCCCCCATCTATCTCAAATTATCGACTCCTGCCTTGCAGTCTTCCCAAGCACACCCTCCCCAGACTCCTGGGACTCATGGAAGCTCGATCTCACCCTTAACCTCAAGCGCTTCTCCAACCAGGAAAGGCGACGCGTCGATGGCACAGTCGCACACCTGGAATACACCATTGGCTCACTTCAACGACACGCCGCGTACACGCCCCTGACCCAGGCCGAGTCTAACCGCCTAGAGCAAGCAAGACTCCACCTGGCCCGGTATGAAGCCTCAAAAGCCTCCAAAATTGCGCTCAAGGCCAAGCTTAAAGTGGAAGGGCACAGAGAAATGGGAGTCTCCTCCCTTCTCTCTGGCCTCAACTCGCGAATCAAGGGCTCAATCATCAGCTCCCTGACCCTACCGAATGGACAAACAGCGTCGGATCTACCCACCATGACAAACTTGTGCTCACATTTCTTCCAGACACTTTACAGCGGAAACACCCCCGCCACCGCAAACACGGCCTTCTGGCAACACATCCCTCCCTCCTCCGTCCCGAACCCCCTTTTCCAACGACTCGGCGCCCCCTTCTCCCTAGCCGAAATTGGGAAGGCACTACTCTCTCTGTCCCGAGGAAAAACCCCCGGCCCAGACGGGCTGCCCGGGGAACTCTTTCGGCAATTCGCCCCACGATTTGCACCTGTCTTCCACTCCCTGCTCTCCTCTACACAACCTCTCTCGCGCCTACCCCCGTCCATGCTGACCGGACGCACTGTCCTCATCCCCAAACGGGGCGACTCCTCGCTCGTGGAAAATCTTCGCCCCATCACCCTCATGAACGCGGACTACAAAGTACTCGCGCTGTGTCTTGCTAACCGCCTCCAGCTCGTTCTTCCCCAGCTCATCCACCCATCCCAAACCGCCTTCATCAAACACAGGAAAATCGGGGACACAATCAACGATACCCTCGACATCATGGATTGGGCAGCATTCTCATCTAGCCCTCTCCTCGCTCTTACAGTCGACTTTCGAAAGGCCTACGACCTAGTCGACCGCCCCTTTCTCCTGCAAGCCTTAGCGGTCCTAGGGATTCCAGCCCCCTTCATACACTGGGTACGACTAATGCACTCCGACACCACCACCCGAATCTCCGTCAACAACATGCTCGGCCCCACCTTTCCTGTCCGCACGGGCGTCCGACAGGGCTGTCCTCTGGCACCTCTTCTTTTCGTGTGTCATAGAGATCTTCCACCGATACATGTCCCTCTTCCTACTCGGCTTCGCTCTATCTCCTGTCCAGCGCCGACTCATGGCATGCTACGCGGACGATGTCACTCTCTTCCTCACCTCAGACACAGAGCTCGGCCTCGCAGTGATACTCCTCGGCGTCTTCGGATCCGTATCTGGGGAGGTACCCAACTGGAACAAATGTTCCATCATTCCCTTCAATATTAACCCCACCGACCTTACGCATGCCGGGCCTATCCCCGTACGAGGCCCCGGCGAAGCAGAACGCATCCTTGGAATATATGTTGAACGACTACACCCTGGATCCACCACCTGGACCAAGGCTCTCGCCCGCATACAAAGCACCGCCAAATTCCTGGCGGCCTTACATGCCACTGTCACGTGTCGCAAATCTCTGTCATCGATCTTTCTAAACTCCGTCATCTCCTTTCCCGACCGCTTCCAACCTGCACCACCGATCACCATCAAACGACTTGACATCTCAGTTGGGAACTTCCTCTCGTCCTCAAAACATAAACAAGACGGCCTCGCACAACGCTTCCTCCCCAACGGCCTCCTTTATAATTCACCCCAAGACGGTGGGGTTGGGGCGATCGCACCATCTACCCAAATCAAAGCTCTCGCTATCCAGCGTGCATTACGCAGATTTGGACCCACCCCAGCCGAGGAAGTCACTCGGACCCTGACTCCTTTCCCCTTCGGGCTTCATGGACTGTTCTCCCATAAGGCCATCCTCGAACGAGACTATCTTCCCTCCTTCATCCCCCCACGAGCACTGGATGAGCTTAAATCCCTCCTCGCTCTTCCCCTAGTTATCCATGGCCCACCCCTACGCATGCAATGCATCCTTACCGAACCCCTCGCCTTCAACCGGCTGCTCCTTAAACCCGACGAGCGACCTTTCGGCACCCGCCAACACGAGCGTTTTCTGCTTATTCGACAACTCCGCATTGGACACATTGTCCGAATCACCAACTGCGATGTCCGCCCCATCTCTGCTCAGGAGTTATGCTCCCAACTTCCGGAGGAATTCCACGACGACGCCACTCGCCTCCTCCCGGACCTCATCAAGGCTATCAAGCCTCCCTGGTGGGCCGGCCTCCGATCCCCTCACTCCACCTCTGCCTCCCCGGGAGATTGGTTCATGCTCTCAGAAGACCACTACTCCATATCCCACCTCGTTCTCCAAGTCGTCGATTTCATCCCCCCCTCTACTGTATCGGCTACTGTCCACCCAGTCTCGCCCAACCATCGCATCGGCCGCACCCCAATCAACACCGGACTCTTCCGCTTACAGGAAGGTCCTCATCGAGGTGTATGTCAGGGAATGGTGGCTCGCAGGGCCACTTCATACAGGGACAGGGTTAGGAGCTAGGGTAGAACTTCTACAGGACGGTACCCCAAGCCTCGCCGACATCCGCCGCCTCCTTTACTCCTCACAGCCACTTACTCACCACAGCCGCTGGACCCGAGACCTCACCCTCCCTCCTCCCCCTCTCCCTGGCCTCAAGGACCCCTTTCTCAAAGACCAGCCAAGCCGACAACGGGATATCCTCTTCAGACTCTACACACTTACTCTCCCCTCTGGCTCACGCTTCCAATACTTCGACGACCGAGGGGTTTGCCCCCGATGCCCTGCTGCTGTGGTAGAGACACTGCCACATATATTATTCGAATGCGCCTCTGCCGGAAACGTCATCTCTGCTCTGCGCACCGTCGCTGACCGCCACCTCGGACAAACCGCCCCCGCCGAACACATCTTCTTCCCAATACAGTCACGGGACGGACGTTCCCCCCCCTGGAGCTTACTGGTCGGAGCAGCAGCCAAGACACTGTGGAATAATCGCTGCGACCACAGATACCGCAACTCCTCCTCCTCGAGCTTCGAGACACTGCAGCTCATCTTAGCACAGTTCCTAATCGCTTTCAAGATCTATATGTGGAGAGGCAAACGGCAATCGGCCAAGAAGCGCCAGCGTATATCATCCAGCATCAAGCGAGCACAGAAACTCCGATTCCTTCTCTTCGACAGGTCCGGCACACCCTCTATCCACCCTGACCTAAGGCTCTCCTGGCTCTTGGGAAATCCGTTCCGACCACCATAGTCACCCATCGCATAGAGCGTCTCCCCAGGCAGCTGGCGGTTGTCCGCGAGGACAAGGAATAACGTGTGTTCCACGTGCTCCGCTGTGGATGCTGGCCACCTCGGCCATGTTTCTAGACTGCTCTATCGATACTCTATGTAAATTGATTACGATCAATATATAACCTTTAACCCTCCCTTCTCGACCGCTCGTTCCCCCCCGTTTATTCCTGCTCGACCCTCTTTTCTCCTCGCACTTGACTTTCCTTCCCATCCCATCTCAGCTTCCGAGCTCCCCGTCACTTCGCTGCATACTAGCTCGCACAATCCTGTCCCAGTTAGCAATCGTAGTTAATACGCGCTATATCTTCATGGCAGCGGCGAACGCGAAATGCCGCCACAGGTCGCTATTCAATGTCGTTCTTCACCGTTCAGCGGTGGTCTTGGGGGATCTCTCGAATGAGCTTTGGTTTCACCGTCGATTTTCGCTGTTCCTCGTCAATCTCCCTTTTCCGCGTCGAACTTCGCGCAAATTTCCGGTAAAAACGGCTTGAGACCGGATTTTCATCTTTCAGTTTCGCATTTGAAATGTAGCTAATGGTCGTATCTTTCGCGACTTCCAGATTTTAGACACACAACCATTCCAAGTCGTCGGACATTCCAACCCGCCAAATCTCGCCCTTCGCGACTTGGCTTTCCGTTAGGCTCGTCATACATCTCAGGGGTGAGCTGCCAAGCTCGCTATTCTTGGTATCCGCAATTTTCGTTTCCCGACATTTCTGACTCTGTGTCGCCTTACTTGGTAGACACACCATGCGAGCGTGCTGGGCCTCCGCAGGCAGCGGCTAGCGTGTGCGCGTGGGCGTCGCTGCGCCACGCCGCTGCGCCACACCGTTGCGCCACGGGCACGCGAGCATCAGCGGCTTACGCGCTGCTGGCGGAAGAACGGAGCGCGGAAAATGTAGCGCTTCCGCTCTGCAGACGGAAGAACGGAGCGCTTCCGCGCTGCAGGCGGAAGAAGGGCACGTTTCCGCGCTGCAGGCGGAAGAACGGCGAGATTCCGCGCTGCAGGCGGAAGAACGGCGAGATTCCGCGCTGCAGGCGCGTAAGCCTTGAGCCCGCTTCCATTCACCACTGTCGCTAAATCCCGTCATCCGTTATGTTATTATTGCTATTTTCGTTCTCTTTTCTTCCATTTTTGACTCTTGTCCGTGAAAATGGTTGCCGGGTATTGTGGTTGGGTGCGGGAAGCAGTGGGCGCCATGGAATGCAACAGTGACCGGCACGTGCATGCCGATCTGCCCGGGGACGGGCGCGCGGGCAGCAGCACGCGACTGTGGGTCAACCCGCCCACCCACCGCCACGTGGTGAGCCAACCCTCGTGTCCTCCCCTCTCCTGCACCTCCTCTGCGCCCCGTACTCACCTCCTGTGTCATTTCCGAACATGCTCGGCACAGTCGCCTCGGTTTGACTTGTCTGTCACTGCTCTACTCACACGCCGTCGTTCTTGCCTGTTTCCTCGTTGGACTAATCACTCACTCCGCCATTCTCTCACACCTCTACGCACACGCCAGCTCCGTCGCTCCTACTTCAGGCGCACCTCACTTTTTCCCCATCCGCCTCCCTCGCGCTCGGCCTGGCCGCTTTCCCCCAGGGTTTACGACAGAGGCTGGGCAGAGGTCTGGCAGAGGTCCCGCAGAGGCTGGGCAGAGGCTGGGCAGAGGTCCGCAGAGGCTGGGCAGAGGTCCGGAAGAGTGTGTCCACTCCCTCCCTCCTGATGCTCCCCCGCCCCGCTCCTTGCTCCCCCGCCCGCCGTTCTCTCCCCCTTCGCTCCTTGTTTCCACTGGTTTCAGCGACGAGCGGCGCGCCAAGCTTCTGCGAGGAGTGGCGCGCCTTGCTGGCCACGGTTAGGCTCGCTCAGTGCACCCCAGGTGGGGCGTGCTGCTGATGCGCTGCTGCTTCCAGAGTGACTGTAGCACAGCTGCTTGTAACGAGTGTTCCCCCCCTGACCTCTTCCTTAACCCATGCCTTCCTACCCCCCTCATTTGCTCCCTCTCCGCACGCCTCCCCACATGTCCTTCCTGCCCACAGCCCATGTCCTTCTTCCTGCTTCCGCCAGGAGCGGCGCTGCCGACGGTGACGTGGCGCTGCCGTCTGACGTGGCGCTGCCGAGTGTGACGTGGCGCTGTAGGCGACGTGGCGTGGCGTCGCGCTGTCGGCGGTAACGAGGCGCTGCCGACGGTGACGTGGCGCTGCAAGCGGTGACGTGGCGATGCCGACGCTGACGTGGCGTTGCCGACGCTGACGGATCGAGCGCAAGGCGGGTGGCGGCGGATCGAGCGCTGTGCGGCAGGCGGCGGATCAAGGTGAGTCACGCGGCATCCGCGATCCGCCCTTCCGCAATCCGCCCTTCCGCAATCCGCCCTTCCGCAATCCGCCCTTCCGCAATCCGCCCTTCCGCAATCCGCCCTTTCGCAATCCGCCCTTCCTCGTTCCGCCCTTTCGCAATCCGCCCTTCCTCGTTCCGCCCTTTCGCAATCCGCCCTTCCTCGTTCCGCCCTTTCGCAATCCGCCCTTCCTCGTTCCGCCCTTCCGCAATCCGCCCTTGCGCAATCCGCCCTTCCTCGTTCCGCCCTTCCTCGTTCCGCCCTTTCGCAATCCGCCCTTCCTCGTTCCGCCCTTTCGCAATCCGCCCTTCCTCGTTCCGCCCTTCCGCAATCCGCCCTTGCGCAATCCGCCCTTCCTCGTTCCGCCCTTCCTCGTTCCGCCCTTTCGCAATCCGCCCTTCCTCGTTCCGCCCTTTCGCAATCCGCCCTTCCTCGTTCCGCCCTTCCGCAATCCGCCCTTCCGCAATCCGCCCTTCCTCGCTCCGCCCTTCCTCATTCCGGCACGGTCAGTCAGGTGAGAGGCTCGGCACGGTCAGCCAGGTGAGAGGCTCGGCACGGTCAGTCAAGTGAGAGGCTCAGCATGGTCAGCCAGGTGCGGCACGGCCAGCCAGGTGAGAGGCTCGGCATGGTCAGCTAGGTTAGAGGCTCGACACAACGGAGGCTCGGCACAATCTGGTGAGAGGCTCAGCCAGGTGAGAGGCTCGGCACGGCCTGGTGAGAGGCTCGGCACAGCCTAGTGAGAGGCTCGGCACAGCCAGGTGAGAGGCTCGGCACAGCCTGGTGAGAGGCTCGGCACGGCCTGGTGAGGGGCTCGGCACGGCCTGGTGAGAGGCTCGGCACGGCCTGGTGAGAGGCTCGGCACGGCCTGGTGAGGGGCTCGGCACGGCCTGGCCCTGGTGAGAGGCTCGGCACGGCCTGGTGAGAGGCTCGGCACGGCCTGGTGAGAGGCTCGGCACGGCCTGGTGAGAGGCTTGGATGGATGCATGGCTGGGCTCTCCTCCTCTGCTGACCACCTCTGCTGACCACCTCTGCTCTCCTCCTCTGCGCAGGTAGCATTTCCTCCTGCGTGGCGCCATTTCGAGGCTCTTTCCGTGAAGACATTATGAAGGAATAGGATAGTGAATATCGTAGGGTTGGAAACTGGATTTCGGATGTGGTAGGTACATGTGCTTGTTGCTGTATATATGAGGCGGTGTGGCCAGGTCGTGGCCAGGCCTGGGGAGGTCGGGGCGGTTTGGGCAAGGCCCGGCGAAGCCTGTCAGTTGGGGGTTTAAGGGCCGTGCAAGCCTGTAGGTTCGGGCCCTGGTCCGGAGAGGTCCGATCTGGGGCGACCCGGGCAGGCAAGGCCAGGCCTGGAGTGGTAGGCTCGGGATATGAAACAAAAACAGGAAGAGAAAAAGAAGCAGAGACAGAAAGTGAAGGCAAAGAGATGCTAAAACAAGGTCAGGGACAGAGTGATGATGGAGGACAAACAGGGAGTGAAGCAGGGACAGGGGCAGGCACAGACAGAAAGAGAAATGGAAGAAGAGACAGAAGCAGGCAGAGACAGGTCATTTGAGGCATGCGTGCGCGCGTGCACGCATGGGTTTGCAGGTCATTTCTGGCCCGGCCAGGCTGAGTGGGGGGCTGTGTGGGGGGCTGTGAGGGGAGTTGGGGGGTAGGGGGGCCTTAGGGGGGCCTTATGGGGGGTCATGGGGGGGTCATGGGGGGGTTTTTTCTCGCTCTCGTTATTGTCACTCCTCTTATCGTCCGCTTTCTGCTTTCTAGCACCATGGACCTCTGTAATTATTCTCTTATCACTGCTCCTTGTATTGTATCACTACGTATTATTATTCCTTCTTCCCTAATGTACCCTGTGTTATTATCAATGTTTCTGTTCCTTCACCATACCCCTCTCTTCCTCCATTCTCGTTACTATCACTCCTCTTATTCTCCCCTTTCTGCTTTACACAATCATTTTCTTTCTTTACAGTTTCCACTCTATTTCCATTACTCTTCGCTTTCCTTCTCTCTTGTTCCCTGCACTTTTATTACTGCTTTGTCGTATTGGCCAATCGTGGCTACCAAAGTGGTCTGCAATTTGGGCCTTGAGGGGTATAAGGGAGCGATAGTGAGACGGTGGGAGGGGAGTAGCGAGACGGTGAAAAGGATGAGACGGTGAGAGGGGTGAGACGTACCAGGCCTGCTCGTACTCACCCCGTCGTTCCTTTCCCACTTTCTTATTCATCCCCCACTCTCGTCCTCCCATCTCCTCCTCCCCCCCACAACCCCTCTCACACTCACCAGGTAAAGCGCATGGTGATCTCAACGTACCAGGTCTGCTCTCACTCACCCCCCCGTCCCTTATCCTCCTTCCCCCCATTTTCCCCCTCTGTGCCCACTTTCCCCCGTCTTTCCCCCCTGGCCAGGTGAAGCGCATGGTGGTGTCGACCTACCAGGCCGCCAGTGGCGCGGGCGCGGCCGCCATGGCGGAGCTCGAGCTGCAGACCAAGGAGGTAAGCGCGTGGGGCAAGGGGAGTTGGGGATGGGGCAAGTGGGACAGGCAGGCGGGCATTGGGTGGGCAGCGATTGGGGGAAGGGACACGGGGAAAGAGAAGGGCAGTCAGTGAGGAAACTGGAATGTGGTGAGGGGAACGTCAGTGGTAACGCCGTCAAATGTCAAAGCATCCCACCACCACGCCACCCCCCCACGCCATCCACCCCATGCCGTTGACCCCATGCCACCCCCATGTGCCTACACACCACTTCACCCCACACCCCTCCCTCCGTGCCATGCCATGTCCCCTGCCCCTGTCATATCCCTGCCCTGCCCCTGTTCCTGCCTGTGCGTGTGAGATCAGGTGCTGGATGATGGCAAGACCACCACCACCATGCCATTTCCCCGTGCTATTGCCCCGTGTCCACATACCACCTTACATCATACCCCTCCCTCCGTGCGCTGCCCTGTCCCTGCCGTGTGTCTGTCTGTGCGTGTGAGAGCAGGTGCTGGAAGGCAAGCCACCCACCACCACCATCTTTGGCCGCCAGGTGACCATGCCATGCCACCCCCTGCATTGTTTCTCCCCTCTTGTACCCATCCCCTTCCTTGACCTCTCCCTCCCTTGACCTCTCTCTCCCTTGCCCTCTCCCGCCCCTGCCCTCTCCTGCCCTTGCCGTCTTCCCTCCCTTGCCCTCCCCCTCCCTTGCCTTCTCCTCTCCCTTGCCGTCTCCCCTCCCTTTCCCTCTCCCCTCACCTCCCTCTTTTTCCCTCTCTCTCTCCCTATTCCTCTCCCTCCCTTGCCGTCTCCCGCCCTTGCCATCTGTCCACCTGCGTGCCCGCGTTCCCATGCGTGGCCGCGTTCCCATGCGTGCCCGCGTTCGCTTTCCCCATGTATGCGAGCAGTACGCGTTCGGCCTGTTTTCACGCGAGTATGTTAGAAGTCAGTTTTGAGAGTCCGAGTAAATGACTCTCTGCCTGCCCCTGCCCTGCCCTTGCCCTTGCCCTCTACTCCCCCTTCCTTCGCTCCTTGTTCTCTCCTCTGTGTGTGCGCGCCCAGTACGCGTTCAACCTGTTCTCGCACAACTCGCCCATGACGGCCAATGGGTACAACGAGGAGGAGATGAAAATGGTCAAGGAGACGCGCAAGATCTGGGTGAGTGCCACTTGTGGGCGTGAGGGTTCAGACCCTGCACTGTAAAGTAACTTGTGGTGCACTTAAGGCCGGCGTCGGGCAATACGATTTCGGCCAGTGTTTTTTAGGTCGACTCAGGAGTCACCTTGTGTTGCCCAGATGTCTCAGACCCTGCACTGGAGACTAAAAGCAGACCCCACCAATGCCGCCGTTCACCCCACGGCCCCTGCCTCTGCATGCCCTTGTGATCCCCCCCTGTGTATGCAGAGCGACCCCTCAGTGGCCGTCGCTGCAACACTCATCATCCGCGTGCCGGTGTTGCCTGCTGTCTCGCTCAAAAGGGTTTCCCACCCTTGCTGCTCTTTCCTCTCCTCCCCCCTTCCATGCAGAGCGACCCCTCAGTGGCGGTGACAGTCACATGCATCCGCGTGCCGGTGATGCGTGTTGTCTTGCCCAAGCCCCATCTCTGCTGTCCTTTCCCCCTCCCATTCCTTTGCATGCCCTTGTTAACCCCCCCTCATGCCTCCAGAGCGACCCCTCAGTGGCCGTGACAGCCACGTGCATCCGCGTGCCCGTGATGCGCGCCCATGCAGAGAGCATCAACCTCACACTGGAGGAGCCGCTGTCCGAGGTGCGAGGGGGGAATGGGGAGGGGTCTTTTGAGGGATGCTGCGTGAGGGGGAGGGACAGAGTCACCTGGCAGGTGTGATGCGCGCCCATGCAGAGAGCATCAACCTCACACTGGAGGAGCCGCTGTCCGAGGTGAGAGAGAGGGGAGGGTGTGTGTGCATGGAGCGATAGAAATCTCGCCTACCAGGTGTGATGCGCGCCCATGCAGAGAGCATCAACCTCACGCTCGAGGAGCCGCTGTCTGAGGTGAGTGGGAGAGGGGGAGAGGGGAGGGGGGAGGGGGGAGGGGGGAGGGTGTATGTGGTCCGTGGGTGGGAGGGAGAGGTGTGTGAGATAGAGACTTATGGCATCGACCCATGCACGTCTATGCGCCTTGTCCGTTCCAGCCATATGCGAGGGAGAGTTGTTTTTTAAACAAGTTTTTACACCAAGCGGTGTACTCTCTACCCTATACACCACTGTGCTCCTTGGCACTGGCAGGTGGAGGCGAAGGAGATTCTGAGCGGTGCAGAGGGGTTGTTCCTCATTGACCTCCCTCTCCTTACACAACAAGCAAACCCTTACTGGTCTCTACTCTACCCCATCCACCTCTCCACTCCGTGTCCCTCACAACTCTCACTCCTGTGACCCTGGCAGGTGGAGGCGAAGGAGATTCTGAGCGGTGCAGAGGGGTTGTATCTCATTGACGACCGTGACACCAACACCTTCCCCACGCCACTTGATGTGAGCCCACGCCACTTGCTGTCATGTCGCCTGTGCTGCTTCACATCACCCCGCCAGTCAACCTCCTCTGATTGCTTTCTTCGCCACTCTGGTTGGTTCGATCTCTGCCCAGCATCCGTGCCTTCCCTTCCTTCACACCATTCCTTCCCCCTATCCATGCTGCCTCTCTGTGTTTCCCAATCCCATTCCCAAATGCCCCCCCCCGAATGCAGCCCCTCTCTGTTTCCCCATCCCATCCCCATGTCCCCCCCACTCATGCTGCCCTTCTGTGTTCTCCTATTCCCCATCCCCACGTGCTGCCCGCCAGGTGTCCAACAAGGATGACGTGGCGGTGGGCCGCATCCGGCAGGACATCTCGCAACCAGACAACAAGGGGTGAGGCTGAGAGTTGCGGAAGTGGAGGGTGAGGAAGTGGTTGGGAACGGGAGTGTGGGTGAGAGCGGGGTTGAGAGACAAGGCTTGTGGGGTTGAGAGATGCCTCAAGCGCCACTTGTAAGAAGAGGAAAAGTGCAATCTGGAAGCAAGCAGTGCAGCAGAGATTGATGAATTGACAGAATATACAGTATAAAGTTTACGACTTTCTCCCCTTCCCTTGCGAATCACCCTTCTGCTGGACCTGTTTCTGTGTGGCGACCAATTTGCACTCAATAGTCCCTCCCTCCATCCCTCCCACCCTCTCTCTGTCCCCTCCCCGCACATATCTATCCCAATATTCCTCCCACCCTCCCCCCGTCCCCTCCCCTCCCACCCCAGCCTAATTGTGTGTGGCAACCAATTGTTAAGTGGGCCCACAAGTTCTTTCCATCTATACGAGTTCTCCCATCCATACACCTCATCCACCCCCCACCCACCCCAACCTGGACCTGTTTGTGTGTGGTGTCCAGTTCCGCAAGGGGGCGGCCCTGCCTTTCCCTCATCCTGTGTGCCTCCCCTCCTGCCCTCCCTCCCTCCCCACCCCCCACCCACACCAGGCTGGACCTATTTGTGTGTGGCGACCAGATCCGCAAGGGAGCGGCCCTCAACGCCGTGCAGATTGCCGAGCTGCTCGTCAAGAAGGCCGGTGCTGCATGAAGGGAGAGGCTCCGAAGCATGATGGGTGGTGTGTGACGGGCGGTGGGCGTTGCTGTGCCGCTGCAGGCGTAGCGTGATGATGGGTGAGGCATGGCAGGCCTCGTGTTACTGCCGCTGTGTTTCAGGGTTATCCTGAATGGTGCTAGGGCGATTTAGCAATTAGGGCAGCATAAGTTGATCATTTTTGGGTGACCTACCAAGACTGCATGGTGTAGGGAGTGTGCTTAGAGAGTAGCTTTACTGCTTGTTCATTATAGTGGTGCGGTCTCCATGTTGGTGTGCGTTGATTGGGTTTGGCTGTTTGAATCACACCTGAAATATTGCAGCCATAGGTATGTCGAGAGAACTGTTCAGGAATGAATGAACGGTGCAAGAGTGAGGAACAAGTAGTAAACCCTAATTGGGATTATACTATATACTGAGTACCTCATTGTAGCCTAGCAGAACAAACAACATATAACTAAGATATTACTCACCCCCCTAGGCAAAGTGAGGGATAGCCGACACAACAAACGGTCATAAGACCAGTCAGGCAAGAGAACAAAGCGATACAAAGCCTAAGGTGGATCTCAAGATCACCATGCATTCTGAGCACAAGAAAGCGGCCACAAGGCCAGTTCACATCAGAGTTATAATAGCAAGGCAATACATTAATTACAACCAAGCAAGAGGAAACATGCAGATATAAATATAGATATCAGTGTACAACAAGTGCAAGATCAAGAGACAAGCAAGTGAGGCAGAGTGGGCAGAGCCCAAGAGCAGTGCAAAAACGCTAATAATCACCGCACTAGACCCAAGGGCCTTGGTGAAGACATCAGCAGTGTTACCGTAAGGCCCCGGATAGAAGCGCAGGCCTCGGATAAGCGCCGGCGCTTATAAAAGGATGAGGGCGCTTATATCCGGTCCTCGATTATAAGCGCACCCCTGAAGGCTTACGGATTATAAGCGCCACCTCTAATTGTTGTATTTATAATCTTACTGAAATCGTTATAACGAAACTCACATTTTCATTCCCCACATTTTGAATCTCGATACCCTTCACCTCGCTCGGCTCATCGCCAGCACTTCCAGTCAGAATGACCTGTCAGGGGCGTAAGTCGACTCATTCTGACTGTATGTGCTGGCAGTGAAGCATTCCCTGCCAGCTTGTCCGAGCGAGATTCTCAATCACTGACCTGTTTAGTTTCGACTCGATTCAAAATGAAAAAACGAGATCTACAGCTGTCTTAAAAATACGCATTTCATATATGTCATAATATATGCACCGGCGCTTATAAATTTCCTCAATTATAAGCGCACCCCCTAAAAAACAGTGTTTTATTACAACCCCAGGGGCGCTTCTATCCGGGGTATGACGGTAGCCCGAGAGGCCACGTGGAAAGGCGAAGCTGACCACAATGCTGCAGCTTTCGAGCAAGAAAGTAGCGAACGGCAATGTGCTTCGTTCTGTGCTCCAGTCTCTGCTCGTGACACAAGGCAATCATGGCCTTGTTGTCGACGTACAGAACTAGAGGAGAACGAGGCCGCTCCGCCAAGTCGGACAGCAAGTAGGTCGGCCAGCGTAGCTCCTGTATACCCATAGCCCCAACATAGATCTCGGCCTCACAGCTAAAAGCAAGCACAGAAGGCGAACGAATAGACCTCCACGAGACAGAACCAGAGCCAAGACTGAAGGTGTAACCCTGTGATGACCGCTGAGTCGCCTGGTCTGTCAGAATAAGGAAATAGAAATGATTGCATTAGGGTTTGGGGACAATACAAGTAGGCAGCCCTAGAACTGTTGTACCCTATATGGGCTACCCCACTATAGCCTATAGGCATACAATTGTATTTTGACACATCCTCATAGGCAAAGTGGGGGATAACAAGAACAACCAACAGTCACAAGACCAGTCAAGTTAGAGAACAAAGCAAAGCAAAGCTCAGGGTGAATCTCAAGATCACCACACATTCTGAACACAAGCAAGCGGCCACAAGGCCAGTTCACATGCAGAGTTCATAATAATAATTGCAGTACACTGATCACAACCTAGCAAGTGCAAACATGCAGGGATAATGTCAAATGTTATATCTGCTACAGTTTGTTTAGGCTGTAGTGGGGTAGTTACTATGGGGTACAGTAAGTTTAGGGTTTCCTACTTGTACCCAACTCTTTCCTAGTTCAATCACTCTTGTTGATTCTGACATGGTATCAGGAGCCTAGGTTGCTCTCAGAATAGGAATGCAACGGAATGGATGAAACTAGGAAGTGTGGAAGTACAAATATGCAACCCTAACAACTGTACTCCCTATTGTGCTACTCACTGTAGCCTACAAGCATAGAATTACATTTGACACACCCCCATAGGCTAAGTGAGGGGCATCAAAGCAAGCAAGGTGAACAAACGGTCACAAGACCAATCAAAGCAAGAGACAAGGCAAGCTCAGGGTGGATCTCAAGGACACCACACAAATTCCGAGCGCAAGCAAGTGGCCACAAGGCCAGTTCAAGAGTTCACTAGGATATAAATAGGAAGCACAACAAGTAGAGCAAACAACAAGACTACAGCAACCGAGGGCCTACCTCAACAAGCCCCAACTGCACACAGAACCTGTGGTGATCACCAAGCGCCAAGGCCTTGGTGAAGACGTCTGCAGTGTTGGCCTCTGAGGCCACAAAGTCCAGGCGTGCCTGGCCGCGTCGCTGCAGCTCTCGCAGAAGGAAGTACCTCACGTCAATATGCTTCACTCTGCTCTCCAGTCGAGGCTCTCGACACAGGAGGATCATGGCCTTGTTGTCAGCGTACAAGGTCGATGCAGAGCGAGGCCGCTCACCAAGGTCGGCGAGCAAGAAGGTCAACCAGCGAAGCTCCTGTGCCGCCATGGCACCAGCGTAGATCTCTGCCTCTGCACTGGAAGTAGCCACAGACGACGACCGTGTAGACCTCCACGACACAGCACCAGCTCCCAGACTGAAGTAGTAACCCTGAGTCGAGCGCTGAGTCTCCACGTCGTCAGCGTAGGAAGAGTCGCAGTGACCAGTCAACGCCACTGGCTGAATCCCTCCAAGCACAAGCCCCATGCCTGATGTAGTCGCCAAGTACTTCGCCACCCTCACAGCAGCTGTCCAGTGGACAGGGCGGTGTCTCCCAGTCGCAACAAAGCGAGAAAGGATGCTGAGGGGAAAGGCGAGGTCCGGTCGAGTACAAGTCATCAGGTACATGAGGCAGCCCACCAGCTCTGCGTAGGGTCCACTGGACTCGAAGGGCTCGTCAGGAAAGGGGCCCGTGAGTCTGTGGTCAACAGCAAGAGGAGTGGGCTGTGTGGTGGAGAACTGGAAGTCGAACCGCCGAAGGACCTGCTGCACCATGTGTGACTGCGTCAGTGTGATGGTGCGAGCGGCTCTGTCCCGGGTGATCTGCAGGCCAAGGTAGCGCTGCAGCTCACCCAGGTCAGTGCACTTGTGTCTCTTCTGCAGTTCGGACTTCACCTGAGCCAGGGCTGCCCTGTCAGCTGTAGCAAACACCAAGTCGTCGACGTAGACAAGGATAAAGAAAGGAGTAGAACCCGCTCGAACAAACAGCGACGGGTCGGCGGAGGACGGGCTGAACCCAAGGTCACGAAGCGTGGAGCGAAGAGTGTCGTGCCACTCACGGGGCGACTGGCGGAGACCGTAGACTGGTCGCCTCAGGCTCCACTGGGTCCCAGGTGGGAAGGTGTCAGTGAAGCCAGGAGGACGGCGCAGCCAGATCTCCTCGTGCAGTCGGCCCTGGAGGAACGCAGTGGAGAAGTCGAGGGAGTGCAGCTCGTAGTCTCGCTGCGCTGCTATGTGGAGTAACACCCGAAGAGTAGTCATCTTCGGGGTCGGGGCGAAGGTCTGGAAGAAGTCAACTCCCTCACGCTGACTGAAGCCCCTAGCCACGTAGCGCGCCTTGAACACCGGCGGTGCTCCAGGCGGCCGCTTCACCTTGAAGAGCCACATGCCATCGACTACGTTCGCCCTGGGAGGGGGAACTGCGTCGACGTAGGTGCCTGTGGATCTCCAAGACGCCAACTCTGAGTCCATAGCCGCTTTCCACTGAGAGGCCCACGCCCCTGACACTGCCTCGCGGTAAGTGCGAGGAGTCGGTATGTCAAGGGCGTCGGGGTCGCCCTCAGGGGAGAGCAGCATGGCACACACAAAGGGAGAAGCGGCTGCCCAGTACTCCAGCTCAGACTCTCTGTCCTCTAGGACGTCACAGCCAAGGGCAAACCCACCCCCGACGGACAGAGGACGGTAGGGAGGAGCTGGCACCACCCGGGTGGCGTAGTCAAGGCGGCTGGCGGCAGCAAACTCAGCGACAGCGGCAGTAAGAGCCGAGGCAGACGACGGAGGGAAACGAGAGTCAGTGACAAGAGTGGCGAGGACACGTGCGGCAACAGGACGAACAGTGCGGTAGTAGTCAATGATAGGAGTGGGGAGGGCTGGGAGAGAGGACGGAGGAGGAGACGGGAGAACGGACACAGGAGAACAAGAACGACGACTGGACGAACAAAAGAGGGCAGTGTGGAGGTCAGTAACAGGGGACGAGTGACGAGCACGCGGAGGACAACGAGTGATCAAGTCGTGACGGACAGAGTGAGGAGGAGACCGAGGAAGAGGAGAAGACCAGACCACCGGACGGTCGTCAGGAGGAGGCAACGGAGGAACAAACACAGGAGGAGACTGGGAGCGGACAGGAGGAGAGGAGGAAAGGCCAAGGGCCCGCAGGCCACTCACAGGTGGGAACAACTGCCGCTCCAGAGGAAGTTGCGGTGGCGGCTGCGGCTGCTGCTGCTGCAGCTGCGGCTGCGGCTGCTGCTGCTGCGGCTGCGGCTGCGGCTGCTGCTGCTGCTGCTGCTGCTGCTGCTGCTGCTGCTGCTGCTGCTGCTGCTGCCGCTGCTGCTCCAGAAGGTCCAGCACCCGCAGCTCCTGCCGCTCCCTCTCCAACCGCTCCTGCTCCTCACGCTCACGCCGACGGGCAGCCTGGAGACGCGTG